TATTTCCATAGCTTAAGAGTCCGTGGTAACTGAAAATTTACATTTTTTGTGCCTTTAATCACCGTTTTTTTTATTAAAAATCCACACGGAAATGAGTTCTTTAATGGGCATGAAAGGTGTTGAGCCCGATAACAAATATTTGATGAAAATTCACAAACCTCCGGGAAAATGCAAGTTTCTTCGCTTTGATTATTTTGACAAGAGCCTGATTCCACCACGCTGCCTCACATTTGTCGTTTCCTCATTGTTTTTAACATTGAGCGACCCACGTGGGCTTCATCAAGCACTACCTCATTTGATTCTTTGTAACTACAGTTACACGTCCTTAAATTTCGGAAAAATATGTGGCCTCTTTTTAATTTCTCTGACAAGTGAAAATGTTATGCTCGGCATCTTGTAATTTCCTGATCCAATGAGAGATCGTGTAGATCTAGTTTAAGCGTCTGTAAAATGAGATATATCTAAGAAAAACTGTATGAACATCTCACACAATCACACACACGCACATACACACACAAACACAAACACACATACACACACACACACAGTACTCACGCATTAACGCACACAAATACACTCACGCACACATTAACATACACACACACACACATAAACATACACACGCATTAACACACACATGCACACACACTCACAAACGTGCACATGCGCATTAAACACACAGACACGCACACAAACGTAAGCCTAAATATATATGCACTGTATTCACACACACACACACACACACACACACACACACACACACACACACACACACACACACACACACCCGGAGGCACACAATCACATATACACACACTAGAGAACACATAATTATTGCACAACTCAGCTGGGTACACGCACGCATACACACACACACACACACAAACGTACACACACATACATCATTAAATCTATACACTCACCCCCACCCCTTCCCCCACCACGCACACATACAAGCTCACAAATATATGCACACACTTTTAAAAGATTCCAAAAATTAATTATCAAAACATCAAAGGGTAATATTAGTAACAATGATCAAGTCTGTATAAATATATGTTTATTTTTTAGAAAAGTACAACAAAAGAAAAGGAATGCTTCCCAAAACTGACAAATAACAGAAAAGACCTTGTGAGGAAAGTTTAAAAGCACCAAACTTCAAAGACACGGCAATAAAGAATTTTAAAAATATGGCAGAGAGACAGACAGAGAGAGAGAGAGAGAGAGAGAGAGAGAGAGAGAGAGAGAGAGAGAGAGAGAGAGAGAGAGAAACAGAGAGAAAGAGTGAGAGAGAGAGAGAGGCAAAGAGACAGAAATGAAGACAAAGAGATGGAGATAGGTATTATCTGCCTAATAAAGTCCTTCTTTCTAAAACAAAATGTTAACATTCTGTACCTATTTTCAAAGTCTTAACAACTCAGAAACTGAAAATTTACAGTAAATTTTGATGTGCTTTTGACCTACATTTTTCTGTAAAATAAAAATGGAAACCCTCTTTTAAACGGACATAAAAGGGTGTTGAGCCCAAATCAAATAAATCGATAAAAATTGTCAAACGGGCGGGAAAATATTGATTTCTTCACTTTCATTATTGACGAGTACCTGCTTTTTCCCTGATGACATAGATCCACATAAAACAGTGAAATCCTGTTATAACGAGAGGGAGGGGATCGGTGCGAAATGTCCGTTATAGCAGGATTCTCGTTATACGGGATCCAGTAATGAATTCAAGGGAAATAGTAAAGTAGGCCTAATCTATGAGTTTGGTGTTCTGTTTATTCCTTTTTGTATTTCCCCTGATGACGATTTTGTTCAACGTGATCTCTAGGTCTTACTTGATCAAAAATCGAATCAGGTTTCTTTCTCTAGCACTAGCAATGTTGACAGCTCGGCGTTGTCGATCAGAAAGAAGAGGCTCTGGCTCTAGGCTAACTCGCTCGCTGTATTGTCCCCCACCCCACCACACCCTGTGGGGTGTTGCATCTGCTTGTGCACGTCACACATTCACTCCATCTATCACAGCACTGTGACCTCTCCATCCCGCACCAGAGAAGTGAGATGCACGGTATGCCTAGATAATCTAGACTGGGCTGGCCTATCATGCGATGCGTTCTGCTTGTCTGCGCATGCCATACCCTCCCCACTCATTCACTCCGACCTTCATTGTTGATTCGTGTGTGCTCTCCCATTCTTTGTTTCGCCGGATTACCAACAAGGTTCTCAATTGGCGAGGTATGTTTAATGTGTCTGTGTGCTGTGCACAGAGGCAGCAATATTCCATTATAACCGACTCGCGTGACTGTCTCATTGAACTATAGCAGTATTTTATTTACAAAGATAAAGAACCCCCCCCCCCCCACCCCGGGGTTTTAGAATAGTGCCTATATAACAGATTTCTCGCTATTTCAGGACTCATTATAAGTGGACTCCACTGTAATATGTTACAGGAAATGGCGTTGTAAGAACATCCTCTGCAATAACTGGTGTCATCCCGGGAGTTGTGGGCGTGGCAAGAGACGGTGAGCTTCCTGTCATCACTTCGGTAACTCGACGATAATTTTTCCCACACTTTTTCCTGTGTAAAGATACTGTTAGGGAAGATAATAATGTGAATATCAGTACAATGTTTGTTTGTTTTAGTAGAGGTTTTACGGCGCTCGCAACTGCAAAAGGTCATATGAGCGCCAGAAGATTAGAAGAGTTACAAGAGACTAACAAACATAAAAAAGAAGAAGGGGAGATAAGGGCGATAGACGTTTGATAGGAAAGAAGAAGCAAACCACACCAGAGCACCCGCCAACCACCCACCAGCACAATATGAGTTAAAAACAGGGAGAGGGGAGAAAGAGTGAGACAAACAGACAGACAAACAGACTTGCAGAAAGTTAGGCTGACAGATAGACAGACAGACATAGTCACAAGCCTACAGACGAACAGACAGACAGACTGACAGACAGTCAAACAGAAAGTAAACATAATAGTAGCCTATAGACTGAGGGGATGATAAAAAAGTTAAGTGAAAAAGACAGAAAAAAGAGAAAGTCAGAGATATAATGAATAATATTCACAGGGACAGGTAGACATCCACAGAAAGATAGAGACACACACAAACACACATACATACACGCATGCATGCACACACACGCGCGCTCACACACACACACACACACTCACACACACTCACACACATGCACACACACAAACATGCTCACACAAATACACACATACAGACATATTATTAGCAATTGCGAGCGCCGTAAAACCCTATACTATACATACATATACAGACATATTATTATGCACAGATCGAGGCAAACAGAGAGATGAGGAGAGAAAAAATGAGAAGGAGAGTCAGACAGAGATAGAACAAGAGACACAGAGAGAAACAGAGTTTGAGAGATCAGGGCATTTGTAAAGGCGAGGCAATAAATTGTGTTTAGAAAGAGAAGGCGTGAAAAAAGGTAAGCGAAGCGATATTATGTAATAGGGCAGTGATCCTGCTCTCTCTCTCTCTCTCTCTCTCTCTCTCTCTCTCTCTCTCTCTCTCTCTCTCTCTCTCTCTCTCTCTCTCTCTCTTTCTCTCTGTCTGTCTGTCTGTTTCTATCCCTGTCTGTTACTCTCATTGTCTCTCTCTGTCTGTTTTTCTCTGTGTGTGTGTGTGTGTGTTTGTGTGTGTGTGTGTGTGTGTGTCTGTGTGTGTGTGTGTGTGTGTGTGTGTGTGTGTGTGTTACTATCTCTCATACTCTTTGTTATACATGTATGACCTAATTGTGCTGCAGGTTCCATAAAACACACTAAAACAAATCATACTCTTTGTTCAGGTTAACTACGTGGACAAAACACGCAAGCATGGAGCCTACACTCTCTTTGACATAATAATAATAATAATAATAATAACAATAATAATAATAATAATAATAATAATAATAATAATAATAATAATAATAATAATAATAATTTTTTTTAAAAGAAGAAGAAGAAGAAGAAGAAGAAGAAGAAGAAGAAGAAGAAGAAGAAGAAGAAGAAGAAGAAGAAGAAGAAGAAAAGAAGAAGAAGAAGAAGAAGAAGAAGAAGAAGAAGAAGAAGAAGAAGAAGAAGAAGAAGAAGAAGAAGAAGAAGAAGAAGAAGAAGAAGAAGAAGAAGAAGAAGAAGAATACATGTAATAACAATAATAACAATAATAATAATAATAATAATAATAATAATAATAATAATAATAATAATAATAATAATAATAATAATAATAATAATAATAATTGCATTGATATAGCGAATATCCATGCTCAAGAGTATGCTCTATGCGCTTTACAACTAATATTACCCCGGCAGACCCTCTATGAACACTCAGAAACATTCTCGGCTTCCGCGGAAGCATTACAGTGCAAGCTACGGATTTCACGCGCTCAAACACTATCAGACTGACAAGATCGTTCACTGTCTATAGCCGGGTACCCATTTCCACCTGGGTGAAGAGAGGAAAATGTGTTCAAAGTGCGTATCCCAAGGACACAACGTCGGGTCCCTGACGGGATTCGAACCCACGACCCTACGTTTGCGAGTCCGAGAGCCTTACCACTAGGCCACCGACGCCGCCACAGGCTATAGCACCAGGGCAAGAAGAGCAGTCTAGAAACTAAAAAAGAATCAAATAAAAAATGATCAAAAGGCCTGGTTTCAAAAGTAAAATTGGTGAGAAAATCGCCGCCAAAGTTTGGTGACGTCCAAAGTTTGAGTTTCCTTGGAAACTCCAAATCTACATTTTGTGTGCATTTGGACTGTTTTTTCAGTAAAATTCCCACCGGAATGCATTTTTAGATGGACATAAAAGGTGTTAAGTCAAACCCCCCCCCCCCCCTCCCCCAGCCTAAAAATAAAAGAAAGAAAGAAAAAACCCCAAAACATGAAAGAAAAACCCCAAAACAATAAAAACTACCAAAACGGTGGGAAAATAATATTATTTTGACGAACGCCTCTTTTCACCACAACACCCACACAAATAATTAAATCCTTCTCACATCGATAGCATCCGCAATCTTCTCCAGCCCGACGAAAGGTCCGGTCTGACTCTTGTCCCAGTTGTCCACAGTCATTCTGTTCTTCCCGCTCTTGTACAGATGTTCCAGGCGGGCGAAATGGGCGCCAATTTCAGGCACGTGCAGCGCCAGGAAAAATCCCCGCACACTGGCACCCTTCGTCAGGAGCTGTGTGTGAAAAGTGTTTTAAAAATAATTAAAATAAAAAATAAAAAAAGCTTAGATAACTTGCCAAATTGCTGCCTTTTACGGGGTGCCCACTACGGTTGGATCGGGCCAATCGCACGACTCGATCGCCTGTTTGAGGGAATCGAGTCGGGCGATGGGCCCGATCGGCCGATCCCAGACGTAGTGGGCACCCTGTATACGAATTACAAAGTCCTATCTGACATTTTTGTCCGTTTTGAGTTACAACGACCATGAGGCCATACACCAAAAATTCTATCCGCTCTATCAAAATCAAAAGATTGTTCAGAGTTATTATTAAGAGATTCAAAGAACTGCATTCGATAGAGCTTGACATTTCGGGCTACTCAAAATTATTAACGTCCAATTTTTTTAAAAGTAGGTAAATAGATAATAATAATAACAGTAATAATAAATTGCATTTATATATTTAATAGCACATTTCAACAAAGAAGTGCTCAATGCACTGTATTATAATACAAAGAACACATGAAGTGCACAGCTCCACTAGTAATCCCCCTTTTCTCTCTGTCTCTCTCTCTCTCTCTCTCTCTCTCTCTCTCTCTCTCTCTCTCTCTCTCTCCCTCTCTCTCTCTAACAGGGGCGAAGGCTGACTTGTTTGACAGGGTAATCAAAGTGAAACGGGATCAGAATCAGATATGGCCTGTAGATATCACACAAGAATCTTACTCGAGGCGGCGACTCTGAGTTGTGAATGAAAACAAATCCGGAATTCATATTGTATGTTCAACCGCCAAAATAATCGGGAAAGTATCTTTTTAAATATCAGATCCAAATAAAATTAAATTTAACTTTAGATGTGAATACATAAACACGAAGCAAAGAAGCAAAGATGTCAGTACTAGATCTATATGTTATAGATCTACCAGTGAGTCTAACTCTTTGGTAGAACATGACAATTATAATTTTTTTAATTTCACATTTGGCTGTTTTTGTAAGCCTTTTGCGGCCAGGAGCTGGTGTCATAATCGAGGTCACGATCTGATTATAGGACGGGAAAAAGTCGAGGGAAAAAAACAAGCACATGGAACAGTCAAGAGATTATTAGGAGTTAGTTCCCCTTACATTTGTGAGGTAGACTCGACCAGTGTTAGTTAGCTTACATAATCAGGGCTTGTGATTGGTTATAACTGTGGCCCCAAAGGGGTGAACAGGGTATATGTGGCAATGAAACAGCTTTGACTGCTATGCACATGTTCCCTTCAACTCTATTGGTAGACTCTTCCAGCCTTACTTTAAGCTTACTTAATCAAAGCTTGCGACTGCTTATGGAGTGGCCCGAGAGGGGTGAGGAGGCTATTTCTGTGGCCATGAAACCGTTTTGAATGTTAGGCATACTGTTCATTGTTGATTACGAACGTCTTTTTACATTTGATTTAAGAGGTTTACGTTTAAGAATGAATTTGACAGCGACAACGTTTCGAAATTAGGAAAGGAAGCAGTGATTATTTGATTATATAGACACTTCGCCCTTGCCTTTAATCAATGTGTTTCCATAAAATCCACACATAAAAGTGTTTTTGAATGATACAAGGCGGTGAGCAACTGGCCAAAATATGCCGATTTCTCCGATTTCATTATTTTGTATGACGAGCGCCTGATTCCACCTTGATGCCTCACAAATGTTCATTGACATTGACAGTAATATTAGCTGGTACACATGGCGGAATGAGATACAGTGGAGTTGGTTTTAATTGTACCCTGCTGGGACTGGCAATCAAAAGAAAGGTACCACATTAATTGGATTCTGTAGAAAATCTAGTATTTGGAGTCTACACCTTTCCTTCCATAATCAAAGCAGTCTAAAAAGAATGTCAAGTTATGAAAGCAACATTTTGGTGTTTCAATTAGTGTTTGCAGAATGAACATTGAAATAGGGAAATTTGTTGCCATCAATTGTTATCCATCGTTATAATTAATTGTTGTTATCAGTTATTGTTTGTTGTTATCTCGACAAACATAAATATACCAAAGTAAGACTACCTTACAAAAACAAATAAAAGCAACTTAATTAGGACGGTTGTGTTGATATTTGTCGTTATTTTGTTTTTATCAGTTGTTATTTATTGTTATCGGTCGTTATTTGTTGTTATCTTGACAAAGATAAATCCCGATTCCATATATTGTATCAATTCATCCAAATCACTCACGACATTGCAAAGGCTGAAGATGGCCCATCATTAAAGTCTGCTGAGGTCTTGGCCTCATCCCCCTGGTAGGTCGACACTTGCCCTATCACGATGAGGCGTCCGAAGTTTGCCAAACTGTAGAAGTAGAAAGATTAGAATGGAAAATCTAGATCTGTGTTTTACGCCCACACCAACACAGTTCAGATCTTTCGACTCAGACCCAAGTTACCCGTGCGGACCGCTTTAGGTAAAGTCATTAATTAACTTGATCCTGAATTATTTTTCACTCAACAACCATTGCAGCCTGACAGTTTTGATTCTGTATTGAATCGTTGACCACAAAAAGACTGTGAAAGCTATACTAATTTTTTTAATGCAACAAAAGAAAGAAATGCCCTCCTAGGGAAAGAAAACTGCATTTAATTTGTCCAAGCAGTTTTTATTGTGTCAATACAGTCCGTGCCGGCTTTAAGCACGCCGGCATAAAGCACGTTTCGGACTGAGCATTTCAGCAAAAAGATAGACATAGCTATAGAGACACAGATGGACTGAAAGACGGACAGACTAACAAACAGACAGACAGACACACACACACACACACACACACACACACACACACACACACACACACACACACACACACAGAGAGACAGACACACAGACAAGGCGGACAGACAGGCATATAGATAGATAGGTGCAAAATGAAGGAACTACTATTTTCTTTGAAAGTCGAATTATTGTTAAGTAAAAGAGACAAGGGTCAGATACTCTGTCCCAGAACACTGAAGTCAACTTTGGTCAAATGCAAATTCCTAAGGCACAAAAAATACTTACTGTTTCAGAGATGTGTGGAAAATTTCTTTGCCAACGGACTCGTATACAACATCTACACCAGACTGGAGAAAAGAAAAATATTGATATCTATAAAAATGGTGCTCAAATACAAAAAAACACAAATTTGCAATGTGTGTGTGTGTGTGTGTTTGTATGTGTATGTGTGTGTGTGTGTATGGGTGTGTGTGTGTATATATATGTGTGTGTGTGTGTGTGTGTGTGTGTGTGTGTGCGTGTGTATGTGTGTGTATGTGTGTATGTATGGGTGTGTGTGTGTATGTGTGTGTGTATGTGTGTGTGTGTATATATATATATGTGTGTGTGTGTACGTATGTATGTATGGGTGTGTGTTTGTATGTGTGTATGTGTGTGTATGTGTGTGTATACATTTGTATGTGTGTGTATGTGTGTATGTATGGGTGTGTGTATGTGTGTGTATATGTGTGTGTGTATGTGTGTGTATGTGTGTAAGTGTGTGTGTATGTGTAAAAGTGTATGTGTGTATGTATGTGTGTGTTTATATAATGTGTGTGTGTATGTGTGTGTATGTGTGTATGTGTGTGTATGTGTGTGTATGTGTGTATGTGTGTGTATATGTGTATGTATGGGTGTGTGTATTATGTGTGTGTGTGTGTATGTGTGTGTATATATGTGTGTGTGTGTGCATATATGTGTGTGTATGTAAGAGTGTGTGCGTATATACTAATATATGTGTGTGTATGTGTATGTGTGTGTGTGTGTATGTGTGTGTGTGTGTGGGGGGGGGGGTTACAAGAAGTCAGTCCTTCCTACACAAACCCGCCGTGGCTGGTTGTTCATACAGCTAACGAACACCAGTCCACAACACTCACCTGTACAAAGGCTACTTCTCACTCCCCCCTTGTCATTTATCTGTTTTATAATGGCACTGCCCGAGATGTCCACCTATCTTTACTTTACTTTACTTTACTTTTCCGATCCAGCGGCCGTTTGGGATCTAGCCCTTTGGTCTGTCGATATGTGGAAAATAATTTACAGGTTTTAATCAGCTGTGCTTTGTCGCTGTATAGAGTATTTCCGATGTCTGGGGAGGCAGGTTGCAAAGTGCAGGGCAGTTAAAAAGGTGGTGTGATACTGTTTCATCCTAGCAGTCGCACAACCGGCTGTCGGGTAGGGTATCCTTGCGGATCCTATTAGGGTAGAATTTAGTGGGATGTGTATCCACCTATCTAAAACAACCAATCATCTCCTGGACATTGAGTGGCCATCGGGGACAATTTTGACAGTACTTTGTCTCACTGTCTTTCTAGTAAAAGTAAATGTAGATATCCCCCCCCTCCCCCCAACCTTTCCAATTCTTGAAAAAAACAAAAAACATTTTGCTTCTCACACTCACATATCTTCCCTTTTTACTCCCCCCCCCTTCCTGCCCCCTCTCTCCCTCTCTCCCTCTCGCTCTCTCTCTCTTTTCAGACACACACACATACACACACACACACACTCTCTCTCTCTCTCTCTCTCTCTCTCTCACACACACACACACACACACACACACACACACACACACACACACACAGCGCACTCATATGACCTTATGCAGTTGCAAGGGCCGTAAAACCCCATACTAAACTAACTAAACACACACACACACACACACACACACACACACACACACACACACACTCACCGGATATTCCTCCGCCAATACTTTGTCCAGGTCCTCAGTCTTGTAATTGATTGGCCGATCACACCCCAGAGTCTGGGAAATGCAGACCAATACATATCATAATATATGAGATCAATAAACAAGCATGAGATCAATACATATGTGTCACGACACGTTGGAATCAGGCTCTTGTCAATTTTTTGACATGTAGAGTTATTGGTATCATCTTAAAACTTGTTCATTTGTTTTGCTTCGGATGAAAAAAGTATTCTTTATCTTGCGATATGAAGGAGGTGGGGTCACCTGGTTTCAGAGGTAAAATAAGTGGGAAAATGGCCACCAAAGATGAGTTATTCTGGAGAGTCTGCGGAATCTGAAAATGTACAGTTTTTGTGCCTTAAATCAACGTTTTTCAGTAAAATCCACACAGAAATGAGTTCTTTAATGTGCATGAAAGGTGTTGTGCCAAAAAGCGAAAATTCTATAAAAATTCACAAACCTGCAGAAAAATGCCAGTTTCTTGACTTTCATTATTTGGACTGTCCGCGTGGTTTTATGCACCCTGCATAATTTAGCAAAATTTGATCATTTTGTGCATAATTTCTTATTATTTTCCTTTATCATTCTTTGTTAAAATTAACAGAATCGCATAATTTCACATTTTTGGACTCAGTTTGCATAATTTAAGAATTTTTCTTGCATATAACGACGGGGGCAGTTTGTACGAGCGCCTGATTTTACCCCGATGTATTACATATGCATGAGTTCAACATATTCATGAGATAAATATACACGTATGAGATCAATGAATATGCATGAAATCAGTACATAGGCAGGAGGTCATTAAATACGCTTCAGATCAGCACATATGTATGAGATCAGTACAATGTACATATGCATGACATCAAACTATTAATTAGTGGGTGGTTGGCAGATACTCTGGTGTGGTTTGCTCTTTCTTTTTTTTTTATCAAACATCTATCGTGCTTATCTCTCCTTCTTCTTTTCTTGGTGCGTTACTCTCTTGGAACACTTCTTATCTTGGTGTGTTACTCTCTTGGAACACCTCTTATCTTGGTATGTTACTCTCTTGGAATACCTCTTATCTTGGTGTGTTACTCTCTTGGAACACCTCTTATCTTGGTGTGTTACTCTCTTGGAACACCTCTTATCTTGGTATGTTACTCTCTTTGGGACACCCCTCTAATCTCTCCTTCTTTTCTTGTTATGTTACTCTCTTGGAACACCTCTTATCTCTCCTTCTTTTCTTGTTATGTTACTCTCTTGGAACACCTCTTATCTCTCCTTCTTCTTTTCTTGGTGTGTTACTCTCTTGGAACACCTCTTATCTTGGTGTATTACTCTCTTGGAACACCTCTTATCTTGGTGTGTTACCCTCTTGGAACACCTCTTATCATAGTGTGTTACTCTCTTGGAACACCTCTTATCTTCCACATTTATATGACACATTCATAACGCAAGTGCCGTTAAAGTCTCACTGAAACTAAAATAAAACTGGAACTGTTAATGTTTTTTAAAATTTTTGTAAGAGTTTTACGGCACTTGCAACACAATGTGTTCATATAATTGACGGCACTGTTATGGTAGCTGTAAGTACTGTAGAAAATCTGGTAGAGTGTTGGAGAATGTATGTGAGTATCGTCCGGAATCTAACAAAGTAAAGCAAACGATCTCTTATCGGAATCAAACAGAAATGTAATTAATAATAATAATAATGATAATAATAATAATAATGATAATGATAATAATAATAATAATAATAATAATAATAATAATAATAATAATAATAATAAATAGCAATTTTATAGCGCATATCCCCGCTCAAGAGCAGGCTCTATGCGCTTTACACTATATTATTACCCCAGCAGACCATACAACACTCAGAAACATGCTCAGCTTCCCGGGAAGCATATAGTGCAAGCAGCTGATTAAGCGCTCAAACACTAACAAACCGACAATTACTCCCGTATGTTCTTGCTGGTTATTCAAATCCCAATGAAAAATTTCAATTCTTATTATCACTTTGTCCACAACTAACCTTTAAAAGCTCCACCTTATCCTTACTGGAGCATGTCCCAATCACGTGGGCACCCGCCATTTTTGCCAGTTGAACCTGTGGAGTTATGATAGTGATAAGATGAAAATAATAATAATAAAAATCTTAATAAAAATAATAATAATAATAATAATAATAATAATAATAATAATAATAATAATAATAATAATAATAATAATAAAAACAATTTGAAAAATTAAAGATAATGATAATAGGCCAAAAAAAGACACTATTTATAAAAATAATGATGTTGTTTTTGTTTTCAAATCCTTCTAGCTGCGAGCATTTCGCTCTTGGCAGCGCAATGCCTCCCTCAAGTAACCACATGTCCTTGTCATCTGGTCAACGCCAGAGTAGAGCAGGCTTTGTAAGTCTGTAGTAGGTGTGTGCTGGAGCCTGCGTCGAAGAACTGCCAGGTTTGGGCAGTGAAGGAGAAGATGTTCAATGGCCTCCTCGTGGTAGTCACAGTAAAAATAATGTTAATGATAAGAATAAAATAATGATAAGAATAATCATTAAAATGATGGTGATGAGGATCTGGAGGGGGAGGAGGACCAGGAGGAGACGGAGGAGAGGGAGGAGGCGGAGCAAAGAGAGGTGGAGGAAAATTAGAAGGAGGAGCAGGAGAGGGAGATGGAAGATGAAGAGAGAAACATAAGAGGAAGATGAGAGGAAGATGGTGAGGGTACTGGTGAGGATGGAGAGGATGAGAGAAGAATGTGGATAATGATTGAGTGGATTTTTAAAGTTTGGTTTTAGTAAGACTTTTACGGCACTCGCAATACAATAAGGTCATATAAGTGCCAAAGATTAGAGGTGTTACAAGAGAGTAACAAATGCAAAAAGGAGGAGAAATAAGGATGATAGATCTTTGATAGCAAACCACAGCACAGCACAGCACCCGCTAATCACGCATTATGAGAGGGAAGATGAGAATGTGTATGATGATGAGGAAAAGCATGAGAAGGAGGACGAGAGGGAGGAGGAGAGGGAGAAGAACGAGGAGGAGGATAATGATAGGGAGGATGAGGATGTGTATGAGGAAGAGTATAATGAGGAAGATGATGAGGATAATGAGGGGGTGGGCATGGGCATGGGGGTGAGAATTAGGAAAAAAATGACGAGGGTGAGGATGAGAATTTGTATAATGAGGAGTATGAGAAAAAAATGGTGACTGAAAATTGATTTCACTTACAGCAAACTGTCTCGTGCCACCCGCAGCGGCTGAGGAAATGAGGAAAAAACAAACGTGAGGCACCGTGGTGAAATCAGGCTCTCGTCAATTTTTGGGCATGTAGAGTTATTGGTGTCATCATAAAGCTTGTTCACTTGTCTTTATTTGGAAGAAAAAAATCCATTTATCTTGAACAAAAGTCGAGATATTAGCAAATGAAGGAGGTGGGGGTCACCTGTTTCAGAGGTTAAATTAGTGAGAAAATGGCTGTCAAAGATTAGTTATTTCCTGAGCTTAAGAGTACGTAGTAGCTGAAAATTTACATTTTTTGTGCCTTCAATCAACGTTTTTAAGAAAAATCCACACAGAAATGAGTTCTTTAAAGGGCATGAAAGGTGTTGAGCCAAAAAACAAAACTTTGATAAAAATTCACAAACCAAAAGTAAAAAGCAAATTTCTTCTCTTTGATTATTTTGACGAGAGCCTGATTCCAACACCATGTGAGGCAGCGTGGTGAAATCAAGCGCTGGTAAAAAAAAGATCTAAGTAAAGAAACTGGCACTTTCTCGAAAGGTTTGTGAATTTTTTTCGAATTTTATATTTTGGCTCAACAGCTTTCATGCCCATTAAAAAGCACATGTCTGTGTTGATTTTACTGAAAAACGTTTATTAAAGGCACACAGAATGTAAATTTTCAGTTTTCAAGGACTCTCAAGCTAAAGAAATAACTTATTTTCGGCTGTCATTTTCTAAGTAATTTTAACTCTTACACCAGGTGACCCCACCTCCTTCCTTTGCAAATATCTGGGCTGCTATTCAAGATAAATGAATCATTTTTTTTAAAGCAAGACAAATGAACAAGCTTTAAGATGATACCAATAACTCTACATGACCTAAAATTGACAAGTGCCTGATTCCATAGCGTCGTGACACAAAAGTGAGGCACCGTGGTGGAATCAGGCTCTCGTCAATTTTTGAGCATGTAGAGTGATTGGTATTATCTTGAAGCTTGTTCACATGTCTTTATTTGGAGGAAAAAGATATCCATTTATCTTGAACACAAGTCGAGATATTTGCGAAAGAAGGAGGTGGGGGTCACCTGTTTTCAGAATTAAAATTAGTGAGAAAATGGCTGTCAAAGATTAGTTATTTCCTCAGCGTAAGAGTCCGTGGTAACTACAAATTTACATTTCTTTTGCCTTTAATGAACGTTTTTCAGAAAAATCCACCCAGAAGTGAGTTCTTTAATGGGCAAGAAAAGTGTTGAGCCGAAATACAAAAATTCTATAAAAATTCACAAACCTGCGGAAAAATGCAAGTTTTTTCACTTTCATATTTTGACGAGAGCCTGATTCCACCCCGCTGCCTCACAAATGTCATGTGATGTTGGAAAGGGGCAGAAGCTCATTACAACTGTTTCACGACGCAGTGGTATCAGGCGCTCGTCAGTTTTTGGGCATGTGGTATTATCGGTATCATTTGAAAACTTGTTCTCTTGTCTTGCTTTAGGTAACAAAACATCCATCTATCTTGATTAGAAGTTGAGATGTTTTCGATTGAAGGAGAAGGGGGTTGTCTGGTCAGATGTGAAAATGGTATAGGTATAGGTTTAACGCCCCTATCAACACTATTAGGTTATTTAAGGGGCGGGACCTCCTAGTTTAACGTCCGTCTCCGATAGGACCGAGCCAAGTGGGAAGTTCGTGTAAAGTGCCTTTCCCAAGGACACAACGTCGGACCGAGCTGAGGCTCGAACCCCCGAACTCGCAATCTCACGATTACGAGTCCGGTAGCCTAACCACTAAGCCACCCTGGTCAGATGTGAAATTACGAGAAAATAGTGGCCAATGTTTGGTGATTTCCAAACCTGTAGTGTTTGTTGAAACTCCAAATTTACATTTTTGGTAAATTTGGTCATCAAAGTTTTTCAATAAAATTCTGGCATAAGTGTGTTTTAAATTGGTCATAAAAGGTGTCGAGCTCCAAAAAAATAAATATAAAGATAATAATTGCAAAAATGGCAAAAAGAAATGTCGGTTTCTTTGATTTCTTTACTTGGACGAGCGCATGATTCCATCGCGTCGTGACACCATTTGTACATTTCTGATCCCATCTACACAACTAGGAATTATCCGAGCTCAGGGTCAACACAAGCTGAGAGGGATAGAACCTACCAGCACACAGACAAAGAGTAACAACAACACCCTGCGAGTCAGGACTCGAACTTCTGCGCTCAGTGGCAGAAACTAACCATTCTACACAGACGCCACAATACTCACTTCTTTCTCACTCCATTGGCCTGCGATCTTGGTGAGTGTTTGTTCCTTTCTCTTTTTTCAAGTCCATTTCCCTTAGTTTTTCATTTTTGTCTTTGGGTGGTTTGCGGGTGCTCTAGTATGGTTTGTACTTTCTTTCATTATCAAACTTCTATTGTCTTTATATCTGCTTCTTCTTTTCTTTGTATGTTACTCTAAAAAAACATCTCTAATCACCTGCTCTTATATTATGACTTATTTATGTTAAAAGTGCCCTAAAACTCTTAATAAAACTTTACAGAAAATCTTTGGCGTTCCAGCTTCTTTGACCATAAGTCTCACGCACTCAAAAGTCCCAACAAGGAAGACCCCCCCCCCCCCCCG